CATGTTGTGCAATTTTAACGAAGGTATCCTCTCCGATTATTCAAAAAGTCGTAGTTACTAAATATTAGGAACTATTGATGCGCACCTTTTTTATGGCTTTCATTCTCCGTTGTGATTAATTTCCTAATAGTAACGAGACCGTTCGAAAGTGGAGATTCTGTCACATCGACACTAGTCATTTTACTTTGGGTCGTCCGATTCTTACTGTCGTATTTTCTCTTGGAAAAATCGCCCGGGAACCCGATTCTTACTGTCGTATTTTCTCTTGGAAAGAATCGCCCGGGAACCCGATTCTTACTGTCGTATTTTCTCTTGGGAAGGTCGCCCAGGAAACTCACGTGCGTGCCTTCGCGGGCTGCGACATCTAACAAGGGTGAAGCGGCTCTTGTTAGCCACCGCTCGTTCCACCGTCTTCGCGGACAACGAAAGCGTTGTGTTGTCAGTACAGCACATAGTACCAGCGATCTCAGAGTGATAAGGACATCGTCCAGAGGAACAGCCACCCCCGTAGGTGAGCTGGGTGAGATGTTCTTAAGGAGGCGCACCGGTAATTGTGCTCTCTGTTCTTCTGTGGACAGTGAGAGAGATTTCTGCTCGTGCTCGTGCCACCGGCCAAATAAATGGAGAATGAAAATGGGGGTGTTGTAAAGTGAATGTAGCAAATAAGGTATGGTATGGTCCGTATGATAAAAAGAAACCACGCGACGCAGGGAATGTTCAGTGAAAAGCTCTTTCCCACGTAGCCTATAGAATGTTGTTATTGATATTAGTGCCTCTAATTTCCATTTATTCGGACTGATGCGACACTTATTAGCTGAAACAAACCAGAAATGTCAAAAAAAGTCCGTCCATGGGTGTGCGACAATTTCGACTCACAACCAAGTGTGCTCGTTGAATTGAATTGCTTGTCAAGCACGCCTCAATATTTCCTCAACCTATCATTTCGGAGAGCTGGATACATCTGTCGTTTAGCCTAGCAAAATCGTTGAAATGTCTTATGGTGCTGGACGAACTCTCTATTTCGCTAAACTTCTACGTTCAAAGACAGCGTTGCCGGATTGTGACGGGCTCTTTGAATATCTGGGCATTCCCTTACCAACGTTCCTTATCTGCTCATGAAGTTCCTGTCACTTCTCAGTTTAACTCTGTGGCTAAATCATTGAATGACATGACCTATACAAACAACACAGTCTCCACATCCTGCACACAACACTACACAACCACACTCACCCTCGCACACACGCAACCAAATCCACCTGTGCACCCGCACGCACTTAAGCTAGTGTCTGTATGCAGTAGGCTTATGAAAAAATGAGAACAGTTCCACTGCAATTCTAGTACTGTGAGCATTCACCTCAGGAAAGCATGAGAAATGCTGTTTCTATCTCCCGAAGGAAAGACGTGAAGTTGGCTATTTCGGCGATTTCAAAGTTACTGTCAAAGAGATAAAGCCAGATCCATTTGATGGCATCAAGCACACAGTCTTGGACGTGAAATGGGAGTGAGTTCTATTCATTCACAAAAAAAAGCTCAAATGGTTACCACAGGATACATCAAGACAACAAAGGAGTTTTTTCTGAGAATGAGTTATTGTCGATGTTTAGTAGCAAGTCAGCCATCGTACACCATCTCGCTTACTTCAACTGGCCAGATCACACTGCACCTTTGAGCGCAGCACCTACCATAGGAATGTTCAAGTTATCCCGGACTTTAGCTAATGGCGCTCCTATCACCGTTCACTGTTCCGCTGGGATCGGCCGAAGTGCAACATTCATTGGTAAGGAACGAATGTTTCCGTACTTCAACCAGACTAATGATCCGAAATCTATGGAACTTCTAGCAATTGATTATGCATCGCAGAAGATTCGCGAGAAACCAGATGCTTCCATGGTTGATGTTATAAGAGATTTGCGTTGTCAAAGGTTCCAAGCAATTCAATCGGCTATACAATATGTATTCCTCCACATTTGCCTCCTTGAGCTTTTTGCTGGTGTGAGTATATTTCATAAGGTTGTCACAATACAAATGTCCCTCTCTTCTGTCTTCTACAACTCACCTGTGCGCAAATCTCTGGCGACCAAGGCACGCTAGGGGCACGGCCATCCTTATTCGCCCACGTTTGTGATGGATCACAACGGGCGGAGGTCGCATTTGACCTCGAGGGGGCGGGGTCGCTATTGAGTCTAAAAAAATTGTTTTTGGAGTTGATTTCTATTTGTTTCACGGACGCTATGAAGCGGGGGGGGTCGTAGTTAAGCTGTCGTTGGAGAGAGGGGACTTGCCAAAAGATCGTATACAAACTATTTATTTTTGATAGTTGAAAATGGATTGCTTACGTTCCTGACGAACCGCCCTCCCACCCTCCACTCGACAGCCAAAATTGGGAAAAACCAGAAGGGAAATTTTGGAAATATTTTTGTAGGAGGATTAGATAAAAAGCGCAGAAATTTTCTGTTACGCATTGGGCTATTATACCCCCCCCCCCCCATATGATCCTTCGCCCTGATAAAAAAACTGGATATTTTTCGGCGAAAAAGTGTAGGGAAGCTTGGAGAAAAAATCTAGGAAGTGATAGTAAGCATGGGGGAGGAGGCAGGGAGTGTATTGAGGATAATATTGTACGGGGGGGCTCGCATTTTCGGGAAATGATCACAACGCGATGGCGTGTCCTGCTGGCGACTCTACATCTGGAGGGAGCGTGGTGTGCCCTCCACTTTAACATGACATAAAATGCGCTTTTCGTTGGGTGTATCCATTTAGGAAACCTAGCATCCTGCCTTCTTTTGGAAAAAGATATTAGTACAGTAATTGTCCCTAGGTCTCCAAAACAGCAACACCATCCCTCCCCGCCCCCAAAGGCACATCCGCCGCGAAGTTCAGCTGGAACACACGACCACGTCCCTCCATCTCCGAGTTATTGGGTGTAGCACACTTACTCAAGCAAAGATCTTCGGTTGTATTGATCACATTTTGGGTGAGAATGGCTCACTTTCTGATGATTTTCGGGGACTGTGTGAAATCTTCCGCCACGTGCTTGTAGGTTATGTGATTTCGGACAACGACCGACGGAATCCGTGCAAAGTCTAGATTTGTGCATTGTCTTTAGGTGTACAGTCGTCATCCGGGCACTTGATTAGGGCGGCAAGGGTCGCGACGCGGCTGCGGCGCGTCACGACCGCGGCGATCAGCTGTTTCCAGCCTGATTAAAAAAACAGAGGAATCTCAATCATAATTTACCTTGTGAAGACAAGGAACAACTAATCTCGAGAAAAGCAGCCATAACAGTGTAAATTAGGGAGAAAATGGCTAAATAGGCTGGAAACAGCTGATCGCCGCGCTCGTGACACGCCGCAGCCGCGTCGCGACCCTTGCCGCCCTAATCAAGTGCCCGGATGACGACTGTAATATCTATGCGCTCTCCTAAGATCTTCGCTTAGACATCGAACCTTTGAATACGAACAACGTCCGCGAATGCCTCTGTCATAAACAGCGTTTTGAGAAAAGCCACCGAGCCGGAACTTTGCCAGATGGAGTGCGAATTCTGGGAAATCCTGGGATTCATGTTAATAATAGAAATTCAGGAAGGCGCACTTAGCCGTGATACAACATTCAATGACTATCTGGACAGCTACGTTTCGAATGATAAAGCGATACAACAAACGAGTAGAACAAAAGGAGAAAGAACGTGAAAAGACAGAAGCGTAGTGCCGTCTTTTAAATCATCTTCATTATTGGTATCTCCTGAAGTTATTATGTTATAAGAAGTCATGCCTATTCGAATTGTGATAATAATCATCGACTCCATTAGACTACATACTTTATAAAAGTCGAAAATGATATTTATGTAAGAGTACCGTATAAAATACGTCTTACTGATTCATCGATATCTTCATATTCAGTGCAGGTCGCAGAACGCCAAAGAGATATAGCAAGAAAAGGGGAATTGAAGGCAGTTGAACCTAGGACGAGTAGGCTTAATACGCCTGGCGGGACGGAATTCCGTGCCTCTGAGCAGGCGCTGCGTAGCGCCTTCCCCAAGGAAGGTGCCCTTATAAGGCCCTATCAAGCTGCAACATACCGACCCACAAATGGACGACCTACCTGATGCTCGTATTGCTTCATTTGCGAAGTAAAATATGAAGCGAAGGGATTGACATGAAGCGGCCGCGGTGCTGCATGGATATATGAGTACAAGTGCAGCCGTACCTACCGTAGCGGTTATGGCAAGATGCCTACGGGAAACTCGTCCGAAATTGCTTTTTGAGTCATTAAGAACGAAGGCTTTTCTTCGCAGGTTGACCGTTTCACTTCGTTTTTTTCCTTATCCTCCCCAGTATATAGCACCTTCCTAGCATTTTGAACCGAGTGCCAAATTATCGTGCCACATGCCTTTACCCATGGGCGAAATGTGCTTCGTACTCGCCTAAGGTTAGCTTTCTCAGAATTAGCTAACCAAGAGAACATCCGAGTAGGGGTCGCGCACTTCTGGCTGGTTGAAACGACAGTACTTCGGTGTCTAACCAATCAACTCATGTTGCTGTGCCTTGTGCTATGTTTTATGAACTTATCCCAGAAAGATACGTTAATCCATCTAGTGCTTATATCTGTCTGAAGTCTTGAAGGCCATGGAAGGATGCCGTTCGTCAGAGATGGAGTTATTTGACGGGCAAAAGCAATTCTTTGCAGAAGAGGACGGGGCCCAACATTGCAGCAGATGTATTACCTTCGTGCCTCTAACGTTGATAAGAACGCTACAGTTTCGCCATGACAAGCAGTCTCCACCCTCATAATCACTCTTTCCATTTACTCTGCTCTCCATTTACTCTTACCATCGCAATACAGCAGGGGGGAGGGGAACTCGTCAATTTTTCCGCTATCTTACCATACCACCCGACGTCTGCTTTTGTTTTCTACGCCCAGTGTCTATTCGCTTATACAGTCCTCATCATTGCGGACCGGTGGGGCGTGTCAGCCAGTATGAGTGTGCACACTGTTGAAGCCGTTCTCAGCCTTTTGTACTTTGGCACCGCGCCAAACGCAGCCGCACTGAACCGCCCCGACAGTAATGATGAGGACTGTATAAGCGAATAGACACTGGGCGTAGAAAACAAAAGCAGACGTCGGGTGGTATGGTAAGATAGCGGAAAAATTGACGAGTTCCCCCCCCTCCCTGCTGTATTGCTA